AAGGATCAGACGAAGATAGATGAGAAAATACTTGTAAAAAATCGGAAAAATCCTCATCAAAAGTATAAGTGCCAAATGTTTCGTTGAAATCGTCTAGCTCTTCCAAAGTGACTGAATATTCCTTATCATCCATCGCCTTGAACGCTTCGCGGAAGTTTGCGTAAACCCTAATTACTGTATAACGTTCTGCATACAGTAGATAATCAGCCAAATGTTTACTCATTACGGTATATACCCGTGTGTTTTAAAATTTTTCCGCCCATTCGTGAAAAGACACGTGAAATATCAAAATTATAACGGGTTTGGATCGGGTCGTCGGGCTGCTACGTGGCGTTAAATTAATAGTGGCCGAACCTATAGAAACATTCAGTCAGAGGACCTAATAATTGTTCCATTACTACAAATCTCACCTTCCATGAGCTTCCAAAGCAAATTGAGATGATAACCACTTTTTTCTACATTGTAACCAAATCTTTTTCACTTGCTTCTATATCCTCTTTTTATGAAATAATTATTTTGTACGAAGTCCGAATGAAAAAGAATCATCCGAACTATAAGTGTACACAATGTGTACATAATTTGAATCAAAATGTGTACAAAAATTATATACAGTGTACATAATGTGTACTCTCGAAACAATTTCTCCTTTTTATGTGTCAAAAATGTCTTCAATTGATTTTGAAGGAGGCTATCATCTACTCTTATTATCACCCATCCCATATTAATTTGTCTTCCTAATCTTCCTTCTCACCTTTCTATGCTTTAATCAGAGATATTGGTTTATTCTCTCTCTCTATAAATATATGATTTTACAAAATCTGAACCATCAATTAATAATATTGCATATTAAAACTAAATATTATAGAATCCCTCAAAATTCACATGATGCAAATAAATATATATCGAGAGAGAAAATAAATACACGGCACTTAGAAAAAGTCGACAAATAAATAAAAAAAGACTCCGAGCACGACCGCCACCTGTCTGCCCCTGAGCTATCGGACCGCCAAAGACCGGCAAGTCAAACCACAGCCACATCAGCGCGCCGCAGCCGCAGCCGCAACCGCAACGAGTCAACCAGATTCGCCGGCGCCGGCTACACACCATGCTGACGTGGCAATTAACGGCCTCGTATGCCAACCAAGCGTGAGGCACCCTTCATTCTCCTCCACCCTGTACCCATCACCGCCGGCAAAGAGGGCAAGCAGCATACTCGCCTGCTTAAAAGCGTTCGATCCAAGATTCACAGGCCGCATCCCGGCCCCATTCATCCGCAGCCGCCACTGCGCAAGCGTCTCGTGCCTCTCTGTCCTTTCCGGTCCTTCACACGCCACCACGTTGCAGATCTGCCGGCCGAGAAATACCTCCGACATCACCTGATCTTGCTGTCCCTCGCCGCCGGCGACCCACTCAAGGGAATCAAACATTGTCGAGTAGTAATGCAAGGACTCCGTGAACCGTTCTAAGAAACTCCCGGCATTATGGTTCGCTTCTTGCTCAACAACGGTCATTATCCTCGGGCGCAAAGATCGTACGGTGGATAGCAATATCTCTATCGCTCCAGGTCGGGCAAGGAGGTTATGGAGCTCGAAGACGGAGTTGATCGCCACCGCCTCTGATTCATCGGATTCTAGCATGAAAGGTTCGATATCAACTAGATTGTTAGCGACTAAGCCGCGGTATTCGAAGTTAACGTGGATGGTGTCGGCAAGCTGGGCGAGCTTCCATCCGACTTGCTGTAGCGCGTTGGAGTTGTCTGGAGAGGGCGGGCCGATTCCGGTAAGGCGGAAGGAAGGTGGGCCACCTGGACGGAGTGCGAGAGCCTGCATCAGGGCAGGCCACTGCATCCCCTGTTTTATACCGAAGTCGATGACGTGAACGCGGCGGCAGCCGGAGAAGGCTTCGAGAATGGCTTGGTTGGCAGTGAAGTGAGCGAACTTCAGGTAAGGGAAGCTCTCGTAGAAGTGCATCTCGAGGATATCAGAGAAGGCGGAGTCGAAGGTGTCTTGGGTAGGGTGGAGGCAGTATATTCGACGGGCCAGGGCTTCGGCAAAGTAACCAGCTACTTTTCGCATCGCGCCAGCTTGAGAGGAGGCAAGGATTGATATCTGTTTTAGGATTGCCTCGGCAGCTTTGTAATTCGCTTGCTGAACTGCTTCGGCACAGGCAAGCAGGGCGTGGACAAGGCGGATTCCGGCCTCCTGTGAGTCTACCATCACCACTAAAGGATTAGTAGATGATACCTCGGTGGCAGCGACGACGGCGGGGATTGATTCGATAGCCGGCGCTGCTGTTCTGGAAGTGGATGACGATGACGAGGAAGTCCTCATCCGCTTCCGATTTCTCGATCTTCCCTCCACCTGGTAGTCTGATCGGAGGCAGTAATCAGGATCGAAGGGGCTCGGAACGGAGGAAGACAGATTTTCAGAAGGAAAATCGAAGCTTATTGATTTCGGATGGGTCGCAGTTGGCGCTGGGATAGGCGGAGCATTGAGTTCAGATAGCATGTTCTCGAGCCAGTTAGAGATATCAGATGGATTATAGTGTACAGTATCAGACGCAAGGTGGGAGAGCAGCGCATCGTCCTGCGCTGCGCTCCCACCTATCGCCATGTCTAGCTGTTCAAGCCTCTGCGCTACGTTTGCCATGTCTGAGGCCCTTACCTTGTACCCTAGCGCGGCCAACTGCTCATCCATTCCAGCGTCAGTCTCCTCCATCGCCATCATCTTCTCCTTAGACGGAAGAAATCCGTCAATCCCCCCTCCGCGGCAGCTCTCAAGGTGCTCTGTCTTCATCGTCGCACCGGCTCGATCGACAGAAAGTGGATCTAGGTCAAGTCGCACTCTTCAATCCCTTCCGCCGCCTCGCAGCTTCGTAGAGTCGGTCGAAGAAGCAAAGAGGTGACTCTCGTGATGGGCTCGTACTTCAAAACACTCCTCAAAATAGCCCCTGATAGATAGATAAACGGGAAAAGGGAAGATGCCGAATGACGGGAAAGGTTACCCTAATTTTCGTGGACAGAAAAGAGAAAAGACGGTGAGAGAGAAGAAGAGACGATAAGGAGAAAGAAATCTGGTAAGCGTAAGAAAATAGAAAACTAGACAGGGCATCGCCGTATCAGTGATAATTAACAGGAGCGGGTGAATTTTATTTTATTTTTTTCATTTTATTTTGTTGATAAGTAAGAAACAAATTATGATGAAGTACGCATTCTGTATTAATTTTAACATTTTCAAGTACTAAAGTATTTTTTATCAAAAAAAAATATTTTTGGAAAATTTAAGGGCAAAGACAATTTTCTATTATGAAAAAATAGTTATATGACAGAAAATTGTAACCAATATCCTAAAGCAAGTGTAAAAAATACACCAAAAAACCAAAGCAAAGAAAGAACAAAAAGAAGACCGGGATCAAAAAGAGGGCTCAGAAAAGGATTACAAACACGAATCCTGCATCCCCTGGTTGCAAAAAAATATTATTAATAAGGGAAAAGTTGCAAAGAACCGTCATACAAGGGCTTTTGATAATGTAATCCGCTCATCCTAGCCCCAAAAACATAATCATACAATAACATACAACAAGTCTTCATAAAGGTTCAAGTAAATTTGAACCCTTTCTCCATTTCAGAACTTTTCCAAAAATAGATTTTTTTATTTTAGTAGTAATAGTAGTAGAAGAGGCAAATGCATTCCCGAATTTCCTCTCATTTCGTTCTCGCCACAGGAAATCTACAGAGTAGTAAGTAATCAATTAATAAAAATTCCTAATATGATTTACAGCTAATGGCAGACCTCGAATATGTTGAAAAACTTGCATAATATTTGGTCTAAGCAAGTGATAGTGAAAGCCCAGAATCAAATTACCAATCACTATAAAAGAAAAGTTGCATTCAAAGAAGAGATGTGAAGTTCTTTCAGAAGAGGCGTGACAAAGCCTACTGGAAGCATCTACATTCAAGCCCCTTCTCAAAAGGGCATCAACTATCTTAAGTCCACCAATTAATGTCATCCAACAAGAGGAAAAAACGCAGAGCAAAGTGCTTATGCCTCACAAAATTATGCCAAAGAACAAGGTCATAGTTTATATAGAAATAGTCCATATAAGAGCTAAAATTACCCTCAAGGTCATAGTTTATATAGAAATAGTCCATATAAGAGCTAAAATTACCCTCCTTACTATTATTCCAAACTAAGTAATTGTTAGCAGAATTCTTGATTGGAATTTGATGAAGAGCCCGTGAACATTACCAAATAAATGCCTTCGGGGATGCCACCCCTTATCCTTTAAAATAGCACCAATCCTAGCATTAGAGGGAAACAAAGAGAGCAATGGTTGCATAACAGATACATCAGCTAAGGTCTTTCCACCAATCCAATGATCCCAATATAATGCAATTGAGGCAGAAGGGAAAATATTAAAACTGAAATTGTTCTTAGAAGATATAGCATATAAGGAGAGAAGTTTCCAATATGTAGTGGCATCGTTAGGAGGAGATTTCCAAGGCGAGCAATATCTGTAGATATGCCACTTTGAGAGGGGAGTGGAATAGTTATACATTCTGTAAATAAAAATGGTATGATACCCAAAAAGTAAAGCATAAATGGAAGGGATCCCCAATCCACCCAAAGCTCTAGGTTTAAGAGTGTTCTTCCATGCAATCATATGAAGTTTTCTTGCAGTAATATCTCCAAAACAAAGGAATCTCACACTAAGTATCTCAATTTGCTTTATAATAGTTTTTTGGTAAAATAGAACCCCTAATCCAGTAAATAATGGTATTTTATATGGTGAAGCATAAAAATTTCAATCTACACGCAAAAGATAGAGACTAAGCTTTCCAACCAGACATCTTATGAGTAATAGTCTCCATTAAAATGGAGAAAACCACCAACTTTGATTTGTAAGGGGAAATAGGAATACCAAGATAGGAAAAAATTGTAGAAGAGAAATGAATGTTAAGAGTAGAGCATAACCGATCAGCTTTAAGATATTTGGGATGAAGTATAATGGAGCTTTTATCAAAATTTACATGAAGACCCGAATATTTGGAGAACATACTAAGCATTTGATTCAATTCATCACAATTATGAGAATCAGCCTTCCCAAAAATTAGTAGATCATCAGCATACATCAAGTGTGAAATTCTGAATTCTTCCCAAGCAAAACCTTCAAATTTCCCAGCATGAGGAGAGCTAGGGCTGTCAAGCAAACAAGAGAGAACATCCATAGCAATACAAAACAGATAAGGACTAATCGGTCAGCCTTGTCTAAGGCCCTAGTAGAGGGGAAAAACCCCTCTAGTGTACCATCAATGAAAACCGAGAACCACAAATTGGAAATACAAGCTTTAATCCATTGAATGAATATGTTATGAAAGCATTTTTGTTCCAGTCCAGCAAGAACAAAATCTCTATATATACTATCAAAAGCTTTTTTGTTGTCAAGTTTAGCACACATCGTTTTAAGCTTGTCGAAAAGTTGAGAATGAAAAAGAAGCTCCTTAGCAAGAATAATATTGTCCGTGGATAGTCTCTTGTGAATAAAACCAGACTGGTTTTTTTTAACAATGCTCAGCATGATGAGTTTATGACAGCCAGCCAGAATTTTGGCTATGATTTTATAAATAATACTATAGAGAGAAATAGGGTAAAAATCAGATAAGGCAGCTGCATGACTAGATTTTGGAATGAGAGCAAGAGTAGCGCATTAGCAGCTTTAGGAATATAAGCATTAGCAAAGAATGCTTTAATAGCTTTACAAACTGTGGGCTCAGTGAGCAGCCATATAGCTTTATAGAACTCAAAATTGAAGCCATCAGACCTTGGAGTTGAGTTAGATGAATCACTAAAAATAACCTCTTTAATCTCAAGATTAGTAACAGGCAAAATGAGATTAGCAGCATGATTTGCATGTAATAAATCACCAGGGGGAAAGCAGTAGGATTAAAAATTATTGGAAATGACTGATAGTAGTGGCAACTGCATTCTGGTAGGAAGATGTAGAGCTGATCATTGTGAGAGTAATAGTCATTTTCCTATAGTTCCTTCTCATATGAATTCTAGAGTACAAAAAATGAAGGTCATCTTCACCATGTGAAAGCCATGTCTACTTAGCCCTTTGAGCAACCCAAGAGGACCAATGAGAGAAAAATTCTTCAATTTTAATATTGATGTTTTTGAGAGCTGATATGTTATTCACATTCAAGTGGTCCACACTTAATTTTTTAAGATAATCTCCTTGCACATGATGTAAGTGAGCAATATACTTATTGTTCACACTAGAAAGAGCTCAATCCTCAAATTTAATAGTTTCTTTAAGCTTTTTAAGCTTATTACAAAGATCCACAAATGGTTGTCTAGAAATAGGTTAAGAGAAGATAGAAAAGAGCACCTTCCAAAAATGATCCATATTTGCCCAGTAATATTTAAAAAGAAAATGATGATGACTGGAAGTCTTAGCACTGGATTTCAGCACAATGGGGCAACGATAATAACATGATGGATTATTAACCGAATGGTAAGTGAAAGGGAAGGCCTCTAACCACTCATTGTTCACCAAAGCACGATCCAATTTAATATGAATGGAATTATCTGATCTCTGATTGTACCAAGTGTAAGAGTGGCCAATAGAAACCAAATCAATAAGATTAATATCAAAGATTATCTTATTAAAGTCATGAAGTTTACCCTTGTGGAAAATATTCCCACCCAATTTTTCATACGAGAACCTACGGTAATTAAAATCCCCCACAATAATCCAAGGGGAGGAAGAAGGATGCATGATCCTGAAAGCCTCCCAAAGAGCCTTCTTATCATCATGATTATTAGAAGCATATATAACATATAGTTGAAAAGGGGGGATTAGAGCCATAATACACCATACCAGAGATCATTTAAGCAGAAATGAAGCTGAGATTGAAATTAAGTTGATCAGGAGACCATTTCAACCAAATTATCCCAGAGCTAAAGCAATCAAAATTGTGACAGTTGTTCTCATTATCAAACACTAGGTGAGTGTTGAAGAACCAAGCATCCAAGGGGAGGAAGAAGGACGCATGATCCTGGTAGCCTCCCAAAGAGCCTTCTTATCATCGTGATTATTAGAAGCATATATAACAGATAGTTGAAAAGGGGGATTAGATCCATAATACACCATACCAGAGATCATTTAAGAAGAAATGAATATGAGATTGAAATTAAGATGATCAGGAGACCATTTCAACCAAATTATTCTAGAGCTAAAGCAATCAAAATTGTGACAGCTGTTCTCATTGTCAAACACTGGGTGAGTTACTAAGAACCAAGCATCCAAAAGAGAAGTAGAATAAATCCTATTTTCAAGGATACAAATCATATCCAAATTTAAAAATTGAACTAATCACTTACATCACAACACTTTATCAGAGCTACAAAAACCCTTGATATTCCAAGCTGCGATGGAGGGACATATCATTAAACTTTGGAGGAAGAGGAATTGGGGGGTTTCCTAGAATTTTTTCTCCGTGTGACTTTAGAACTTTGATTTAAAGTGGTGTTTGCTGATGAAGATGTAACAATTTTGTCAGGGACCTTATCCATAGCAATTTATTACAACAAATCAAATTTATTAAGGGAAATAACTATGACTGGTGCTTGTAAATCAGAAGAAGAGATGGCAGTAATGAGGTTGAGCTCTTCCATCGCTGAGTTAAGGTTTGGGATGGAAACAGTAGTGACAGACGATGGCACTAAAATTGAAGGAATGGGAATGGTGGAAGAGAAAATGGATTGGATAGGAACAATACGATCAAGGCAAGTTTCTTTATGAGGAAGAACAGTGGCTTGAGAGGTGGCGGGGTTATAAGAAGAAAGAGGGAGCTTAACTTTATAAATAATGAGATTGGAGGGAAGTGCAATATGAGTTTGGGTAACTAAAGAGGAGGCAACCTCAGTGTTGGTGATGTTTGTAGAGACATTAGTAGAGCAGACATGAGCATGACAGGCGGCTTTATTGAACTGTGGAGGACGAGATGGTTTATTACTGTGTGGTTGGCAAGTACAAGAGGTACTCCCTCTGAAAGAAGGTTGAGGTCCGGGTTGGGTTTGAGCATGTTCT